CTATTTGTTATCGGAATATGAATACCTCTAACCCTCGTACGGAATAAGTCATACACGAGAACGAATTTTGAATACATACATTTCCTATACTCATTGATCCGGACAGACAATACAAGAAACGAAGTGAAGGAAACAAGACGAAACAAAGTGACACTGGGCAAAGATAGATAGTAAGCCAACTCGATTTAACCAAGGGTAAATGGATATTTATAGTCAGACAAAGATAAGCTACAGACAGGTAATGAATTGAGCAATTAATGAATGCACATAAGATTATATAAAAATCATTCAGTGTATGATGGTGGTTGAAGGTAGTGAACAGGAGACTCGTATCACAGCATAAAAACACGTTCGTCTACCCACTCCGACAGATCACCCAACTGATGCACCAATTAAGCTTCATTAGCGATTCCTTCAAAATCAACTACTCACTCATAAACTCCTCCTCTTCTTCTTCCATCCCCTCCACACACCACCGTGTACTCACCCAGAAATAACCACATGTCACATCACAATCTCAGATGGAAACAAACACAAATCGCTTCATTCATTCTATTCACCTCCCACTCACGTGTACATTCTCTCATCCTCGCCCATCCAATCACACAAGCACGTTGAAGAGAGAGATCGCACGTGAACATTGTGCTTTGTGTAGTTTGGTGACGCAATGTTGTGATGTGGTGTATTTCAGATGGACACATATAGTACAGATTGTTGACGATATTGCTGATGTTGACACGTTGTAGGTGGTGGTGTCTGTCCGTCGCTATTTGACTTTAAGTCATAGACTTTTTTAAAAGGTCTCTAAGATAGTATTCTATCATAACAAGTCGTGAATTGATAGTTATTCGGACATATGATTATGTAAGTCTGGAATTTGTGATTGCTTGAATTATAACAATAGGCATTTTGTAGTATCTAAGAGATTGAAATTTATCAGACTATAACACCATTGCAGATGCAGACAAAGACAGCCGTTGTAGCAGCAGTCTCTGCATCAGTAGGCCCCAGCACACACAAGGAGAAAACCAAGGTCCTCAAATTCAAAACGGAGAGCAGCAATCCAATCATTCTTGATGGCGAAACTCTGGAAGATGTAGAGTCCTTCACATACCTAGGAAGCATCATCGATGAACAAGGAGGTTCAGATGCAGACGTAAAGACGAGGATCGGCAAAGCAAGGGTCGTATTCCTACAATTGAAGAACATATGGAACTCAAAACAACTTTCAACCAATATCAAAGTGAGAATCTTTAATACGAACGTCAAGGCAGTTCTACTGTATGGAGCTGAAACTTGGAGAACTACAACAACCACAATCAAGAAAGTACAAGTATTTATAAATAGCTGCCTATGCAAGATACTCAACATCCACTGGCCGGATACCATCAGCAATAGCCTTCTGTGGGAGAGAACAAACCAACTTCCAGCTGAAGAGGGAATTAGGAAAAGACGATGGAAATCGATAGGACATACATTACGCAAATCGTCAAACTGCATCACGAGGCAAGCCCTAACTTGGGACCCTGAAGGGAAGCGAAAAAGAGGAAGGCCAAAGAACACATTGCGTCGGATAATAGAAGCAGATATGAAAACGATGAATTACAACTGGACGGAGCTAGAAAGGATTGCCCAGGACAGGGTTGGATGGAGAATGCTGGTGAGTGGCCTATGCTCCTTCACGAGGAGTAACAGGCGTAAGTAAGTAAGTAATAACACCATTGAAGGTTATGTCATACGATCTAATAACTAAGACATTGCCAACTAACCATTGGTCAGTTGACTTAAAGCCGAAATTCGATTGGGTAGAACAACCCAACAGTGTCATTCTTAAGTCGAGCTATGAAGAAAACGTTTCTGCTAGCGAATGTTAGTCAAAGATTTCGTTCTTTATGCATATACCATTTCACTTGCTTTTGTGGAGCAAGGTACATAGGCAGTGGTTAACATTTACTTTCAAGTTGAATAAAAGAACATAGTTTATTGTAGTTCTAAAAAACCTGAAAGTAAAGCGGTTAGGAGTTCTATCCCTGTAAAGTTAATCAATTTTAATCACTTCACTGATCCACAGGTTGAGTTGATAGGTTTTTACAAAATCCATCCATCCATAAAACAAACACTGAATTGTGTTTACTTAAGAAGTATCCCTATCTTAAACTATTATTATTAGTAGTAGTAGTAAAGATGGGTTGTGGCTAGCAGCGGACACGAGTTTGGGAATACTCATCTGGATGTTATTGCACCATAAAGTCGACGTTCACTTCGGCAATCGAACTCAATACCGTTCGCTTCAAACACAATCGCGTTATCTTCTTAGCTACTGAGTCCTAATAACCACTTGCTTGTGCAACGGGGTGATGTTTAAATCCATTTAATATTGTTTACTAAAATCTTTCCATTGATATGTTGGGAGACTGCAAATGATCCGTCTCTTATTGGCAATCGAATGTATTTGAATACGAAATAATAGAATACATTGTTAAATCTGAGAACCATTCAGTAAATACTTCATTTGCGCAATGTCAATCGTTCCCACGCCAATCAATCTCTTTTCTTGTTCTCTTTTCTTCGATCTTCCTAATCTTCTACTGCTAGACATTTCACTTCTGATTGATGATACATACTCCTTATATCTGTCGACATCAGTAGCACACGCCACATTTCAATCAAGTTTGTTTGTGGTTAATTTCGGTTATGAATTTTATTATCATATTTAACAGTCAATATTCTATTATGATCACTAACGATGCCTGCATAAGCGCGCATGCTTGGTCATATGTAACCATCTACACACATATCCATCACTCCATCTTAAATGTTAGTCGTTTAAATATCGCTCGATAAATTATTCACTTTCCCATTTATATGTGCATGAATCTTAGTATTGCTCTGCTTCGCCTCGACTTGATTTGACTGTGAATCCGCCTCAGTATACGCTTACAAGTTTCTTCATGCGTATTAACCTATCTGCTCAAATTCGCTTATAACTTTGTTATCTGCGCTATTCAATAATAATATGTAGTCAGAGTTTCGTTCTGCCTTCTGAATTTAAACACCGTTGGGATTTACGTAATAGCATTTATCAGGTGGGATTGATAATCGAAACGTCAGAAATGATCTCAGAGTCAAGCCACTACAAGAATTCATTGTGTAGTGAACGAGAAGACAGAGTGACACAACAGAATCCTTTATTAAAATCTGAGAAGGATACAGGAAATATTTCATCTGGAAAATGTTAATCAATCGTCTTAATGGTGAACGTTCCTTCATTTCCACAGCAACCATTCTCTATTCTCGTTCTATTTTCTTCGATATTCTTAACCATCCACCATCAGGCATTTCACTTTCAATTAATTATAGCTACTACTTATATCTATCGATATCAGTAGCACACATCACGATTGTTCTAACATGGAATTTTATGCGTGAACAAACTAAATTATTCGAACACTTAAGTTGCTATCTCATTTCTTGTGTTTTAACTTTCTTCCTACTTTTACGTTATAGGAAGTTAACTAATCATGTGTAATTTGCTTTCAATACGTTGCACTAAAATGCTTTGCGAAATTAATTTATGTATTTCCTTTGTATTTGTCTCATTCACATAATAATTGAACGTGTTTGATTTTTCGTTTCAGTTCTGTATCGAACAGCTGACGAGTCCCGGAATAGTACGAAACCCGCGTACCATCCATCTCTGCTTACAATTGTTTGATTTCGATCAGTTGAAGGGAATATAGTTAGGAAATTCTTTATAAGTGTTCACAACAATACTCATAAAAGAAGGGGAACCTGTTTTTGAACTCGGTGTCATATAATTTTTCAAAAACCTATTCATCATACATATAGTGCATACTACTTATATCGACAGGTATAAGTAGTATGTAATGCCTATCAGAATTGGAATTCATATCAAAAGAAGATTGAAATGATTGCACTGAAGAGAACAGAATGTAGAACAGAAAAAAGGAGAAGACAATTGAAGGAATCATGAAGGATGTAAAATATAACTGATGGAAGATGTGAAAGTCAATTATTTTATGTATGGTTTTTCAAATGCTATGAAAGATCTCTGTAATTCTGCACTAAATAGTAATATGGTGTTTGCTACTTATATTGACATAAGTAGCATATAACGCTTGTCAGGAATAGAATATCTGACAGCAGAAGATTGAGTAGTTTGAGAAGAAAAGAACAGAAACACAAATCGATTGGTATGAAAACGAAGCAACAATTAAGTCTGAAACAATTAACTGACACTTTGCAAATGCAGTATATACTGTATAATTCTCAGGTTTTAGTAAAATTTTCTGTAATATTGTGCTAAAATACATTCGATTGTCCCTACTTGTATTCTTGTTCACCACAAAAGTCTCTCATTCCCACCTGAGTTCTCGTTCACTTCATAAATCTCAAGTACTTTTTTAGATCCAGTATTTAGTTTTGTTATTGATTGAGATCTTGAACCGATTGATGTTAGACCACCATTGAAAACCTTAAAGCACTGGAAGGCCGTTGCGTCCTATTGTAGATCTTTTCAGCAGTGCGAATGCACGATCCTGTTCTCGGGATTCGAACTCAGTTTCGCCCCAGTCTCGCACGTGAACGCTTATCCTATACACCACTGAACCGGCATCCAACGGAGTTCATGCCTAACATCAACCAATCCACGAAATTGCGCGACTACCTTCCATTGTACTAAGGTAGATACCTGTATCTACCCAACACGGAATAACTGCAATGGTCATGGCTTTTCATTAGAATTCGGAGAATTCCCTGACGACGCTAGTCACTAGTGAGCACATGGTCATTATCAGTATAGTTTGTGAAACAAAATGTGCCAACTTCAAGAAAGAAACGTGCTATCATGAAAAATAGTCATCTTGTATATGTGTACAAATGTAATGAACAATAATGGAGTTAAGTGAAAAATAGACAATGAAGTTTTAAAATTTTATTGATTAGTATCATAAGTTTGTTCGAATATTGGAGTCTCACTTCTAACCATTTGCTGCAGTAGTATTATTAAAAAAGGTATACCAATCATTTATCGTATTCCTAAAAAGCAGAAATGATCGATTTAGAAAAGAAAATCAATACTCAAACTTTATTGATTGATTTGATTGGGAAAAAACAATGTATGAAATGATTGATTTAGTTGCTATTCCTTAAAGTGCCATGTGTTTGATTGATACTCATTGGTATTGATAATGAGAAGTAAATAGTAATATTCCACATGACTCCAAATTATCTGATGCATCCTACTCGTTGAAATCATTTGAAATCTAATCGATCTATTGATGTTTCACAAGTTGAAATTATGAGTCAATTGAAGCTAGATCACCATGGAAAACCTGGAAACACAGAACGGCCGTTTCGTCCTAGTACGGGACTCCTCAGTAGTGCGCATCCACGACCCCGCATCTCGCGGGATTCGAATCCAGGACCTACTGGTTTCGCGCGCGAACACTTAACAATCAGACCACCGAGACGGTATCCGACGGTGGTAATGTCTAACTTCAACCAATCCACGAAGTTGCGCCACCGTACACCATTGTCTTCAGTGAGTTCCCATCTCACAACAGACCTGGTTGAACTCCACTGGTAACGGCTTCTCACTAGAACTCCAGGAGTGTCTCCTGAAGTCAGTCACTAGTGAGCAGGTGATTATTATTATCAGAATGGGTTTTGTGGAGATTTCACTGGTTGAAATCATGAGTCAACTGAAGCTAGATCACCATGGAAAACCTGGAAGCACTGGTTGGCCGTTTAGTCCCAGTATGGGACTCCTCAGCAGTGCGCATCCACGATTGATGGTTTGATAAAGTATTTGATGATTGAAGTATTAAAATGGCTTGATTTTTGCACATTTCTAATACCTTTTGTACATTTGACTATAGATGACTATGAAACGAGTTTCGATTGGAATGTAACTTCTAGAGCTACTTAATTACTTACTTACTTATGCATGTAACGCCTTGTAGAGGTGCACAAGACACCCACCAGCAGTCTCCATCCAACTCTGTCATGGACAATGCTTTCAAGCTACCAACATTCTCTTTCATATCTGCTTCCCATTCTCAACGCAGTGTATTCTTGGACCTTCCTCTTTTCGGTTTCCCTTTATGGTCCCAAGTTATCGCTTGCTTTATGATGTAGTTTGTTGATTTCTGTCTATAGTTCTGCTAGAGTTACTGATGGTCCTAAGACCAGGTAAAGGAAAAGGGTTTGGCATAGGGTCGACAATCTCACACCATAGAAAGTAATCTTACTAGAAAAACGTTAACTACATTAAACAAATTAACTTCTAGAGTGGTTGATGTATGCATATGTTGAAATGTTAGAATTTGCTTACCAGATTCCATTCAAAAAGCTTCAAAATATAAATCGTGTAAAACAACAGGCGATTGAATTCCACATAGATACAAAGTATCTTATACCTTTGAAATTGGTTTATATATGCAAATATAACCGTGGAATTTTGTTTGGAATATCAAATAAACCATGTTTACTTAGTACTGTGGTGTGTGCTACTGATATCGACAGATATAAGTAGTATGTATCATCAGTCTAAAGTGAAATGCCTGATGGTGGATGGTTAAGAATATCGAAGAAAATAGAACGAGAATAGTGAATGGTTGCTATGGAAACGAAAGAACAATGAAGTCTGAAATGATTGATTAACATTTTGCAAATGAAGCATTTACTGTATATTTTTGTAAGCAGTGATGGATAGTGGCTAGCAGTGGAATCCAGGAGGCGCGTTTCGTCCTATTTGAGACTCGTCAGTTCGATGTATCTTCATCTCAGACTTGATGTTCACTCTGGGACTCAAACCTACTACCATTCGCCTCTAACGCCATCACGTTATCCACTAAGCTTCTGAGTCCTGATAGCTACTTGATTGTGTAATGGCGTGAATTTAAATTCATTTGATATTATTTGGCTTGTATCTTCCCATAACAGACTGATCAATTGCAGTCCTAACCTCAGTGGGAAGATACAAGCCAAACAATGCCGAGCGTATTTACTGTATAGTTCTCAGATTTGACTAAAATGTTCTGTCATTTTGTGGCATTCATACACCGGAAATGTTCAGCATAACAGTAATTAGTATTTAAAGAATTGACTGCCTAGTAAATATCTTTATTTTTTGTTATAAAATACATGAATAAACTGTATTTCGCTTATATAAACGACCAAGTGACTTAAAACAATATCGAAGCAGTGTGCACAGGATGTACACATGTCAACAAGAGATTGATCAGTTGCAGACCTTAACAACAATGGGAAGATACTAGCAAATAATGCCAAGTAAATTTAAAATTCATCCCATTGTACAAGCAGGTGGTTATCAGGACTCAGTAGCTAAGTGGATAACGTGATGGTGTTTGAAGCGAACGGTACTGGGTTCGAGTCCCAGAGTGAACACCAACTCGGAGATGCAGATACGTCCAGCTGACGAGTCGTAAATGGGACGAAACGTGCATTCTGGATTCCACTGCTAGCCATCATGCGTCTTTGCTAAGCAGGTGAACTATATTATAACGTTTTTTTTTTAATTCAAGGGAGAATGCTGGTGGGTGGTGTATTGTTCTCCTCGAGAAGTACCAGGCGTAAATAAGTAAACTACACTTTACTAAAGCATTCATTGAACTAATAGATTACATCAAAAGCGTTGACATTGTAAATTCAACTTACCAAATGAAGCTAATAAAGGATCTAGTTTGAATAAATCAATAGGAGGATAGTTGATTTTAACACAGTTAAATGTTGATTTAGAAGTCTATTGACTGTCATGTTGCACAAACGTATGAATGTTTGCACATAATGAACAATTTAATCTAGACATCAGTTCATTCTAACACAAGCATGGCAAGTGGAAAGTGATTATCTTATTCAACCATATAGAATGACAGAATGAAGTTTCTAATCCTAATATTTTCATAGTTGAATTCACTAGTCAATTTAAGCTTGATTACCATCGAAAACGTGGAAGCATTGGACGACCATTTCGTCCCTGTATAAGACTCCTCAACAATACGCATCCATGATCCAACACTTGATACTCAAACCGATGATCTTTAGTTTGTAGTACGAGCACTTAACATCTAAAACACCGAGCTGCATGTGATATCGCGCGTGTGCACTGCTGAGGAGTCCCATACTGGGACAACATGGCCATTCAATGATTCTAGCTTTTCACTGGTGGTCTAGTTTAGATAAACTAGTGATTTCAACTGTGAATACACTTCAATCTTCGCAAATCCTCGTACTGATCATTTCAATATTCTTAAATGTCAAGTACGTTTTTCTTATTGTTACAGTATTCTTACCACTAAACAAATATTCTTCAATACACTGGAAGCTATCCATTTAGTTTAAAATATAAAAAGTTCAGTAGAAGAGTTCGACGAAATATTAATGAATAATTTCATCTTTTGCCTGTTGATATCCTTCTGAAGGAAACATATCATCGGAATACATAATACTCAATATTCAACAAAATCATAATACAATTACATCTAATCCTTAACATGAACTCAAAGAAGTTGGAATTCACTTGATATTGTTTACTTCAATGTTCCCATTGGTGTTTAGTACTGCATTTGATCAGTCTATTATTGACATATATGCATACTGTGCGTATTACCTCGATTTTGCTTTAATTCACAAACATTCCCAGCAAACCTGGAAGCACTGGACGGCCGTTTCGTCCTATTATGGGACTCCTCAGCAGAGCGTATTCACGATACCGCTCCCCGCGAGATTCGAACCCAGAACCTATCGGTCTCGCGCCAGGCGCCTAACCAACTAGACCACTGAGCCGGCATCCAATGGTGTTAGTGTCTAACATCAACCAATCCACGAAATTGCGTGACCAACTTCCATTGTACAGAGGTGGATACCTGTCTCTACCCGACACGGATTAGCTTCACTGGTCACGACTTCTCACTAGAACTCCGGGAATTCCCTCACGAAGCTAGTCACTAGTGAGCACATGTTAATTAACAGTATGGGGGTTGTGGAGATTGTTAAGTTTTTGGTTGAGATCATGAATGAATTGATGTTAGACCACCGTTGGAAACCTGGAAACACTGGACCGCCGTTTCGTCCTATTATGGGACTCCTCAGCAGTTCGCATCCACGACCAGTTGGTTAAGCACCTGTCGCGAGACCGATAGGTCCTGGGTTCGAATCTCACGGGGAGCGGGATCGTGGATGCAATCTGTTGAGGAGTCCCATAATAGGACGAAACGGCCGTCCAGTGCTTCCAGGTTTCCAACGGTGGTCTAACATCAATTGATTTATGATCTCAATCAGAAACTTAACAATCTCCACAATCCCCATACTGATGATTCTCTGCAAAAATGGATAATGGCTAGTAGTGGAATGGAAGACGAGCGTTTCGTCCTATTTGGGACTCGTCAGCTGTATATACCCAGAGTTGATGTTCACTCTAAGACTCAAGCCGGATACCGTTCGCTTCATACGTGATAGCGTTATTCATTCAGCTACGGAGTTTTTATTGATGTCAACAAACAATTGGAAACTATTGATTTCAACAGTTTTCATCAGTAACAAACGTAAATATGAATATTGCTTTGTAATGTTTACTCACTCCAATACTGACCAAATTTTCCTTGAATATAATGAATTCAGAAGTAAATAAAGACATTGATGGTTGATTCAAATGAACCCAAAAGACCTAAAAGGCATACACTATGACCTCAATAAACCAGCATGTTAAACTGAAGAATAAGATCATTTGAATATGATAAAATCGACATTGAATTGATTAAAATGAATATTTTAAATCATATGATCAACACTTTGTGATCTACATTTTCTCAAATTGCATATTGTAGTGTGTGTACTACTGATATCGACCGATATAAGTAGTCTGCATCATCAATCGAAAGTGAAATGCGTGGTGACAGAAGATTAAGAAGATCGATGAGGAAAGAATGAGAATTGAGAGTAATTGGTGTGGAAATGGAGGAACAGTCAAGTTTTCGACGATTGACCGACATTTTACTGTATAGTTCTCAGGTCTTAGTAAAAGATTCTGTAAATGTGTATTCATATGCATTAGATTATCTCCACTTGTGCTGTCGTTCACTACCTTCATTGCATTAAGAAAGGTATTTACTTACCCAATGAAAGTCCTTTTGAAATGTAGAATAATAGTTCATTTCAAGAGAATGTGTTCATTTCTAATTACAAGTTCGAATACAAAATATAAGCGTTAATTGTATATGTATACAGTTTTCGTTCGTCCTTGACTCGAGTACTACATTCAAGAGGCTATCCCCAGTTTAAAAATTGACAGTGATCTGTTAAGAAAGGCCTAGAGAACCACAGTTAGGTGGATTCCGGGAATAGCAAACCTCTTATATGACTGACTTAATTAGAACCCATCTACATTGTCATACAGAGGAACAATGGGGAAATTGATCATAGTTATTCAATTACTCAGTGATAAATTTGCATCTGATATGCCCTCATTTTACTTGTCTTCCAAAACAGTGAATTGACGAGGACGTTTTAAAGAAATTTACAAACCCAAAACAAATTACTTGTCAGCTGACTATCGATTTTCCCATTGAATCATGAATGAGTGGAATTCATTACCTCAACACATGATTAAAGCTCCATTTATCGACTCTTTCAAAAGAAACTTGGATCACCCAAGAGGCCACCATTGGCAGGACTAACACAGACCATCTAGCTTCCTATCCTTTCCAAACTGAAACTGTAATCGAATACAATTACTCAGTAAATGTATACTAGTTCTTGCATATACTTCAGTTTACATGATTTTTTTCAATAAATATCAAATGTCAATTCAAGTAGATAGTAACTCACTGAAAACAATAGTGGACGATGACGCAATTTCGTGGATTGGTTGTATTTAGACATTAACACCGCTGGATGTCGGCTAGCTCAGTGGTCTAGAGGTACTGGGTTCGAACCCTACGGGTTGGGATCTTGGAGGCTCACTGCTGAGGAGTTCCATACTACAACAAAAAGGCTGTTCAGTACCTCCAGATTTTCCATGGTAGTCTAGTTTCAAGTGACTCGTCAATTCAACTATTGGATTTATAATTATCCACAACCTCTGAATGAAAACATATAATATTTGATAAAAAACAGAATGTTAAATGTTCAGCTTACTTTTCCGCTATGACCAGTGATGTAGTCGGTTTTCCATATCAAACAAACGATAACAAATTAATATCAGAGAAAGATTTTTGTGAATATTATAGTGATCTAATAGTTCAATTTATGAGTCAATTAAATCTAGACTACCGTTGGAAAACCTGGAAACACAAGACGACCGTTTCGTTCTATTGTGGTACTCATCAGCAGTCATCATGTGAGATCGTGGATGGGTAATGCTGAGGAGTCTCACAGCAGAACGAAACGGTCTTCCTGTGTTTCCAAGTTTTTCATGGTGATCCAATTTCAATTAACACACGATTTTAACCATTAAGATAACAAAATAGTCAATTCATTCAAATGTAATTGTCAATTTATATATACTAATCAGATGATATAAATAATATTCGAATACTTTAAATAACATACGTACTTTTACATTCTGGTTGTGAGGACCTAGATGAACCACAATAACATGACTGTATTAGAAATATTGAAATGATGGCAAATGTAATCATTAAATAACTACTGATAATAGAAGAAGGGAATTAAGTAATAAACTCTGATGTTTATGTTTCTAAGAGCTTCATCAATGGAAATGATGGTACTTTTATGTCAATAAGTGTTTCAATCAATCAATACTGTTATTTAATTGGTTTAATCAGTAAAGTAAACAATCTATATTATAGGCGTCAAAATCATGTACGCCTTGTATAACCCTAAAGTAATGATAACTATCTATTGACTTAATAGTTCCTCCCCTTCATAGATATACATTTCAATGCAGACGATTGTTTTCAGTAGATTATTAGAGGTTTAGAGTTTGAAAAGATAAGGGATTATCAAAAATTTTATTGTTTTATTATCAATGTATGTCACACCCTATCTTAATCTGATAAAGATCGGTAGATATTTGAAGAAATTGAATCCTGAAGCAACATTCATTTGAGTAGTTGAGATCATGAGTCATTTGAAGCTAGATCACTATGGAAAACCTGGAAGCAATGGATGACCGTTTCGTCCTATTATAGGACTCTTCAGCAACGCGCATCCAAGATACCGGCTAGCGGGTTTCGAACCCAGGGCTTTCAGACTCGCGCGCGAACGTTTAACCTATTTGACCACTAAACCAGCATCCAACGGTGTTCATGTCTTCATATATTTCATTGTAATGAGGTAGATACCTGTCTCTACCCGACCTAGATTAGCTACACTGGTCACGGCTTCTCATTAGAACTCTGAGAATTCCCTGAAGAAGCTAGTCACTAGTGAGTACACGGTAATTATTAATATACCGTTTTGGAGATTATTTCAAGTTTTAATGGTGATCCAACATCAATCGGTTCATGATTTCAATCAAAAACATAATAATCTCCACAACCCTATACTGATAATCCATTGAATAACCATCGTTTTTCCATAACTTTCTAGGTTTACATAAATTGAAACAAAAGAGAGATATTAAGTCAGCTACTGTTTTTGGGGGCAAGGTGGGACCATAATTCGAGCTTAACAAGTAAAATGATTATTCACTTAATTTGTCTTTATTCATAGTTGAATAAGAAAGATTTGAGTTTCTTGGATAATCCTGGAACGTTTCAACATTTCAACTATTTCTGATTTGATCTTCAAAAGTCAAGTTCCAAAAAACGATGTTTTGATTACTTGACAGGATTTTACTTCTAATGTTATGATGTTTTTTTGTCATAAATTCATTGAATATTCAAAATGAGATACTGTAAGACAAATTGAAACTATCTTGTTACTTGTAAACATCTCTAGTGATAATTGAAATAAGCCTAGCATCCTAATGTCAACATATTTTATTTGATGGGGATTTTTGAGGGTATTGTAGGTAATTCCTGGAGTTCTAATGAGAAGCTGTGACCAATGTGGTTCAACGGGACTGTTGTGCGACAATAACTTACTGAACACAATGCTGGACGTTGTCACTATTTTGTGGATTAGTTGAAGTTAGACATTAACAATGTTGGATGACGTCCTAATGATCTGGAGGTTAAGCGCTCACGCGCGAAACCAAAAGCATTTGGTTCGAATCTTGCTATGGGAGGGATCATGTATGTGTACCATACTTGGATGAAACGGCTGTCCGATGGTCACAGGTATTCTATGGTAGTCTAGATACAACTAACTCATGAATTTAAACAATTTATTCGCTTCTAATTTGTATTTTAAGAAAATTGCTTCTGTTGCTAAGCCTTCTGAACATCATTCTTTATAATTTTATCGTTCAAACCATTCATCTTGATAGGTATGTTTGAGAAATGAATATCAAACCGCTACCTCTCCGATTGAGGAAACGTGCGTGCTGGATTACACTGCTAGCCAATATCCATCATTGCTTATAAAGCTTGTGACTTAAGACAATATCGAGACAACCGAACAGGATGTACATATGCCAAAAAAAGACTGATCAATTGCAGTCCTAAACATCGATCCGAAGATACAAGTAAAACAAAACCAAGTGAATTTAAACTTTACCTCATCGCACAAGCAAGTGGCTATCAGGACTTAACAGCTAAGTGGATAACTCGATGGCGCTTGAAGCGAACGGCATTGAGTTGGAGTCCCAACGTGAACATCAACCGTGATGCAGATACATCCAGCTGATGAGTCCCAAGTAGGACAAAACTCAAGTTCTGGATTCTACTGCTAACCACTATCTATATTTATAAAAGTAGTATTGGATAAGATATTTTTTAAAATATTTAAATCATTTACTCCACCCATTATCAAGTTGAAATATACAATACACCATAGTTACATAAACAAATAAACAAATCAATCAGATATACTGTCATACGTTTTGACAACAAGCCTGTTGACTAAAATGACTATTTTCAGTTCTATTAGGATCATGGTAATATTATAATCTAAATCATTTTAAGTCGATTAAATAAATATTCATTATTTTACAATAGATTACATCATCTAATAATACTTTATACAAAGGGGATGATTGCATTGGTGCTTATCTTATTTTAGCCTTCCAAACATTACTTACTTATTTACGCTTAATACTCCCTGTGGAGCGTAGGCCGTCGATCAGCATTCTCCAACCCACTCTATCCTGAGCCTCTTTTTCCAGTTCTATCCAAATGTTGTTCATTCTTCTCATTTCCGTCTCCATTCCTCGGAGTGATGTATTCCATGGTCTTCCTCTTCTCCTTTGACCTTAAGGATTCCAAGTGATATCATTTCATTTCATTTTAACACATTTATTAAGTTTTGATTGTGATCATGAACCGATCAATGGTAGATCACCATTGAAAACCTAGAACCATAGTCTCAATTAAAACTCAACAATATCCACAGCCTTATAGTGATAATTATTTTGCGTCCACTAATAGTTCTCAGAGTTCTAGTGAGAAGCCGTGACCAGTTGAATCCGACCGTGTCTGATGTGAGGCAGTTATTCACGAAGATAATAGAGGACGGTCAAGTAATTGGTTGATGTGAAGCATAACCAGCTTTGGATGTCAGCTCAGTGGTAAAGAGGTTAATCATTCATGCACGAGACCGAAAGCCGTTGGTTTGAACCCTTTTGGTAATGTGATCATGAGTGTGCACTGCTCAGGAGTCCCATACTAGAACGAAACGGTCGTTGAATGCTTCCAGGCTTTATGTGATCGTCTAACATTGATCCATTCATGATCTCAATCTAAAATCAACAACCTTCACAATCCCACACTCATAAAATCTAAATAATGTTCACTTATTAAATAAGTTCATTCTTACTTTCCTAATTATCAACAGTAAAAGAAGCAAACAGTATTGAGTCTGTTAAATTCATGATAAATTTTGAATATTGGCGAGACTATAATTTATGGGCGAGCCAGTCAGAAGCGTTGGAGGTATTTCAAGCTCACAGCACCAATTTCAGTACCTGTTACACACGTACGATCGGTTCAAAATGCATTTTATCGAAAACGTCTTAATTGAGCGACAACAACAAATGGGACTATTAAAACGTTCCTTTGTTCGTGATGGTAGTAACTATATGACTTGTGAACCTTGTGCAGACTAATGTGATGATGTTATCTTTCGATGTAATATATGTCAGAGGAAGAAGTCTGCTAGAATAGGAATTCGTTCCTCGATCAAGATTGGAACTAATGCAAATTATGACAGTTGTTGCAAACTGGATATTAAAAGCACCACCATCACTGGCTGCTACCGTGTACTACAATATTGGAGAGCGTACAGATGACTACATGGACTTGTCGACATGCATCGTGTCGTTATTCACAAGTGGCATTTTGTGGACCAAACAACAGGAGTGCACACTAACAATATTGGAGCTATGTGGTTGAAGTTGAAAGAGTTTTCGCAAACTTATCATGGCTTCAGAGGCCAACTATTATGGAGCCATATAGATGAGTTATTCTACCGTATGTATTATGATTTCACAAACTCTGAACCTCTTAATAACCTTGATAAGTTTCTGAACCATGTAAAAGAAATGTATTCACTTTCATTCTTTAGTTTTACGTAATGAATGTTTACTTTATACTGTCTGTTTTCTGATTGGCTAATCTTTCTCAAGTTCCCGGAAGGTTCGTTCAAAGGTCATTCACAAATTAATTATCTCGGCTTGCATTTCTTTTTTTAAGAAAATGTAAGATTTCCCAAAGGAGAGATCTTTTTATTGATCAATATGAAACATTCAGTTCTTCACAGATTGAAATCATGAGTCAATTGAAGCTAGACCACCATGGAAAGCCTAGAAGCACTGGACGGCTGTTTCATCCTAGTATGGGACTCCTTAGCAATGCACTTCCACGATCCCGCACCTCGTGAGATTTGATCCTAGGACCTATCATTCTCGCGCGAGAGCACTTAACCAACTAGACCACTGAACCAATCACTACCCAATGGTGTTAATGTCTAACTTCAACCAATCCACGAAGTTGAGCCACCGTATACCATTGTCTTCAGTGAGTTGTTATCTCACAACAGACCTGGTTGTACTCCACTGATAACGGCTTCTCACCAGAATTCTAGGAGTATCTCTTGAAGTCAGCCAGTAGTGAGCTGATGATTATTGTCAGAAGAGGTTTGTCGAGTTTTGGAAATTTCACAGATTCACTTTTTATCATTAGGATATCTATGAACCTTATCATATCAGACTTAAATCATCTCTATTCTTTAATATGAAAACTATTACATTACAATTACTAATGAAAGTATTACGTAATGCCTTAATTCCAATATTTCGATACTTTGTAATGTATATTGAACTATACAAAGTTATATGATAGTTCTTGGACAGCATTTGTCTTTATGAAACATCTAAGTTTAAAGAAAACAAAGAATGCTATCATTTGTTGTTTTCAATTAACAAATCTACTATTCTATACTAGTCATGGGGTAGATAATCAAATATCGTATAGAAAGAATATGATATTGTAGCGTTATTGTAAGCCATAAAATAACTTAAGGATTACCAGGGTAAATTCATGATTACAACGAATTTAGTAGTTGAATTCATGAGTCA